TTCAACGTACCCATTTTTAAAGTGACTAGGCATCTATCAAAATGTGCCCAATTGATAAATGTTATCCCCTATAGGTCTCTCATCTCTATTTTCTTTCTTAATGTTTATTAAACCATAACTGCTTGCATTTCTTATAAAATGCATCTTTAACACGTTCATGGCTCAGTGGTAGATGCTCACCTAGTGAGGTACTGGGTTCAATCCTCAGCACCACATAAAAATAAATAAAATAAAGGTATTGTGTCCATTTACAACTAAAAAATATATTTAAAAAACCTTAATGTAAATTAAATGATTCTATATTCATTTGAGTAACAAGTTAAAGAGGTCCAAAGGAAAGTTCTTTTGGGATAAGAAGGCAGTTGTACTGTGCCCTAGTTTCAATTCTAGTCCTGCGTAAACTTTGATAAGTTTGGGTATCAGTTTCCTCACCTTTTAAATGAGAATAATGGGCCAAATGAAAATATCTCTTTAACGAATTTTAAATTATATCACTAAATTTCATTATTTATTTATTTGTTTGTTTATTTATTTATTTATTTTGGTACCAGGGATTGAACTCAGGGGCACTCAACCACTGAGTCACATCCCCAACCCTTTTTGTATTTTACTTAGAGACAGGGTCTCACTGAGTTGCTTAGGGCCTCAGTAAGTTGCTGAGGCTGTTTTGAACTCGAAATCTTCTCACCTCAGCCTCCATGGCCGCTGGGATTACAGACATGAGCCACCTTGCCTGGCATCACTAAAATGTTTTGATATTTTATTTGAGATTATCTTGGTGGAAAATAATATATCTAATGTTCTATCTTTAATTTTTTGCAAAATTTAGTTTCTCTTTTTCCATAATAAATCAGACTTATGAAAGACCATTTTAAAAAGAAAAAAAAAAAAAAAAGGAGGGAGGCATTCACAGAACCACTACCTCGAAGAGACAATTATTGATCCATCTTTTCCTTCTGCACAAGTAACCTGATCTCTATCACATTCATCAATTAAGTCATGAAAGATATATTAGGTCTGTGTATTTGGACTCCAGCCATATTATTTACAGTTGCCTGCACCCAGAAACTTGACATTCTGCACCAGGCATGGTGATATACTCCTATAATCCCAATGACTTGGGAGACTGGAATAGGAGGGTTGCAAGTTCAAGACAAGACTGAGCAATTTAGCAAGATCCTGCTTCAAAATTAAAAGGGCTGGAGACACCACTGGGCATGGTGGCACACACCTATAATTCCTGTCTCAGGAGGCTGAGACAGGAGGATGGCAAATTCAAGGGCAGACTCAGTAATTTAGCAAGGCCCTCAGCAATTTAGTGAGATCTAATCTCAAAATAAAAATTAAAAAGAGCTAGGGATGGGGCTGGGGTTGTGGCTCAGTGGCAGAGTACTTGCCTCGTACATGTAAGCCAGTGGGTTCAATCCCCAGCACCACATAAAAATAAATAAACAAAATAAAGATATTGTGTCCATCTATAACTAAAAAATTCTTTAAAAAAAAAAAGAGCTGGGGATGTAAATCAGTGATAAAATACTCCCGGGTTACATCCCCAGTACCAAGGGAAAAAGGGGATGCTGTTCACATTCTAAGGGATAATTGATCACAGCTGCCACTTGGGAGAAAGTCATCTATATTTCCAGGTCACAGGATAAAAAAGTCATCCATTTCTACCAAGTAGAAGCTCCTGCTCAAGCAGCTAAACCAGCTAAAGCAACAACCTAAATTGATGGCCAAGAAAAAGGTAAGCAAGCTTAAAACCCAAGTTCTAGTTTCCTTACTTTGGAAGAAAGATATTTCCAGAGATAAAAGGCATTATCAATAACAAGTAGCCAGTCCTTATTTTATATATTTAATACCACTATAATAATAAATAAAATAAATGAGAGAGAGAAACTTGGATCTCTTCCAAATCCCTACTAGGTTTCCTAACAACTGACTCACAGAAGATATAACAGAATTGTCACTCTGACCTAACATCCATTGTCAGGGAGGTTGCACATTCAGACAGATGTGCAAAGGAAAAAGAATGTGATCCCCAAAGTGTGACATCTCATTCCCAGAAGACAGCAAGAAGAAGAATAAATGAGAAAGTAAAAGCCTTCCACTAATGATCTAGTTGATCTGTCCCTTGCCCCTGCCAGCCAAAACACAGGACAGACACCCAGAGGATTGTCACTAGTAATCCATGACTCCCTTTTCAGCAGAATGATTGCTGGACCAAGGGATTCTTCCCACAAGGTTTCTTACAGATGAAGAATGCAACAGGATCACAGAAGAACCTGCAATTCTACTTTTAAGCAACCAGCTACACTGTATGAAAGGGATTATAGAAAAGAGCCCTTTGGGACCAAATGCATCTCCTCTTCTCATCCTTCACTGAAACTAGGGTAAAGTTATTAAACTATAAGAGACAGACTGTGATTCACAGCAATCAAGTCCTGCTTGCAGCTGTGAATGTAGACAAGCTGGAGATGAGTCCCTGTAGCTCCTCTGTGCATGAGTACACACATTTACAAGGAAATGCTCTGCTGCAGTACTGAGTGACAGCAAAAAGCCACCAAGGCAAAGCAGAGCTAGAGATCCGGTAACCCCAACAGAATCCCTACACTGTTAGTTGCTCTAAGTCTGGAGATTCCTTCCCAGTTTTTATTCTTTAGTTGACATGGGAATCTCTTGAAGACATTCCAAATTCTCTCAATATCATGCAGTTTCTCTAAAGCAAGAAAATAAGCAGATGGGGGAGGTGAAACTTACATAATATTCAGGGTACACAGAACTTTCCTGGCCTGGGCACTTCAGCCTGAAAGAGGAAACCCATGGGGCTGGGTTGATAGAAATGAAGCAGTTTGGAGTCTCCCTGGGGCTCCAGAGCTCTGGGCAACACTTCCGCTTTTCATCATAGATTTTATAAAAGGAAGAAAACAGGCTGGGTCTTTGCCTCTAGGGAAGCAGAGATCCCTAGGGTATATGGTTTAAAGACAACTGGTCTCTGTGTACACCCAGGTGGCTGCTTCAAGATATTATAAATACTCATCCCTGTAGTCAGGCTTAGCTCTGTATTAGGAGGCAAGCATGTATAGCTAAATGGCTAGTTAGAACCAGTTTGCTCTGACATCTAGGAGGCTAGCCAGTCTTGTATACACTGAATTAGTCCCTATCCAAGAATCCTACTCTCATTACTCTGGGAGCCCCTTCATTGGGGATAGCCAAGGCTTACTATCAAGAAGAGCCTCAAGACTTTATTTCCCCTAGCAAGAGCCAAATTGTTTTCTTTGTTACAAAACAGCTTTGTCACTTCACCAAATGCCACTATAAATGCTAGCCCTTATAGTGTGTCCTACAGAAGGGCCATTCGCTTCTCCCCCAAAGCATAAGCAAACACAAATCTTCAAGTTGGCATAGCCTTCAGATAAACTCCCAGGGGACGGACTGGATTAAAACTCATATTTAGAAACACTGGGGTGGGAAGGAGTGGTTTGAACCTTAGACCTCAGTGAAAATAGAGCAAAGAAAATCTCTCTGCTCATGTTAGAGCTGAAAAAAATCAAGGGGAGAGAAGGTTGATCCATTTTTTCCTTTTCTTTCTGAAGGACTGCCATAGTCACAGTCATAACCAGCTGAGGGACTAAAAACCACTTTGTTTCTTCTTAAGCCCCCCCATACAAGCTGAATTTTCCAGGATAAACTTAGTGGACATGGCAACCAAGACAACATAGCAGTTGGCACTAATTGGCTCCCTAGGTGACAAATTTTAGTAGGAGCCAGCAGAGCTCCTACTGAAAATCTTCATCTTTTGTATCTAAACTGGGACCTGGGCCCCAGAGACCTTCACTAAGATGATATCCTTGGGAATTCTTGTGCTAGTTTTCTATAATACTATAACTGAAAACAGAGACAAATGAACACACAAACACACACACATACACACACAGATAATAGCTAACATACATTGAGTGCCTACTCTGTGATAGATAATGTATACTTTGATTATACCATTTAGTCTCATTTAATCAGAGAACAACCTGTATTATCCCCATTTGACAGATAAAAAGTCAAAGCTCAGAAAATTTGTGTAATTTACCTAAGGCCACATAGCTAAGAAATAGAGCTAGGGTCTGACAGATAGTTGAGAAGCTGGATTGAACACAATCTGTATGCTAGGAAGGATCTGTATGCTAGGAAGAGGACTGCAGAAAGCAAGCTTGTGATGTTACTTATCCAGACAACTTTGCTTGGTACCTTTTTTCAGGATATGAGACTGCCTGGATAAGAGATTACAAATACAGTCAGACAATGGGAGGGGTCTTTCCAAAGTCTTGCTTTGACTATCCCACCATGGATAGTGTTATTTGAAAAGAGTAGATCAGTTAAAGGACTGGACCTGGCTCCAATGAACATCATAGAGCCCATTCGAAGATAGATGTAACAAGCATTGTAGAAGGAGGTCCACTCTTGAAGGGGACATCTCCCATGGAACTGGACATGCATCCACTACAAGGCTTGTGAACGTCAGAAATGGTCCCTCCAACATTCCTGACAATGAGTGAAAGATGCCACCTTCCTAAAAGAGGGAAAGTGATCATCCCAGGGATGGAAATCTTGTTGGTTGCTACATGAGGAATATAGGAGTAATACAACCCTAGGAGACAAGGACATAGGTGAAGTGAGGGGTCAGGAGGAGCCTGAATAACCTCAGAACAGTAACAGATGCAGAGGGCAGTACCCCGAGGAGATGGTTTATCACCCGATAGCAGAGTCCCCTCCCTCTATGGCCAATTCAAATCACCTCAAAAGCGGCACCCACAGTTGGCAGATTTAAAGCCTTCCCTTATCCAATCCAGTGCCCAGAGGTGGGAGCTTTCCCAGAGGGGCAATGGAAACCCCAGAGAATCTCCGAGGTGTCGCACTCTCCCTCACCTCCCTGGGACCCCAAGCCGCAGTCTCCTCCCCGCTGCAGCCCTCTCCCGGAGCGCGGTGGGCCTGGCCGCGCCGCTCACCTCGCTCATCGCGGCAGCGGGACTAGGAGCGCCAGGCGCGGCACGCGCAGGTGAGGCGAAGGGCCCTCGGGGATGTGTGGACAGCGGCCGAGAGTTGCCGGGATCTAAGGCAGAGACTCCGGCTGACTAGGAGAAAAGAGTAAACGCGGAGATCCGCTGCTTCAGCGCCTGCACCCCTTGTTCTCAGCGTTCAGCTTCCCGCCAGAGATCCCCCTTCGACCCTGTCCTGTCAGAGCCTCTCCGCGCGCCTCCGCCGACCCCACTTTTTATAGTCAGCTTCGGTACCCGCCTCCAGCCTGACCAATAGGAGGGCCCCCTGCGGAAGAGTGACAGCCCCTTGCATCCAATAGTGTCAGACTCAGAGCTTTGCTGCATTTCCAAACTAGGGTAGGACAGACGGTGAGCGGGAAGGAGGGGGAGGCCGTCGGGGGATGAGAACATAAAAAACGAAGTACCGAGAGCAATGAAGGAGAGGTAGAATGAAAGGAAGGAGGAAGAGGGAAGAAAGAGTGTGTTTGAGAAAGAAATGAAAGAAGAACTGGGAGAAAATCAAGAAGGCACGAGGGAAACAGGAACCAGTGAATTAAAGGGGCGAAACTAAGATGTGGCAGGTTAAAATTGAATAGTAAGGTGGCAGTCTGGAGAGACAGACAGACAGACAGACAGACTGGAGCAAATGAACAATGTTCAATGCTCTGAAGCAAAGAACAGGAAAATTGGGAAGTGCCTATTTGACGTGGAAGATCATAAATCTTAGGAGTTGGGAGACATTTTAGGATTCATTAATCCTATTTCCTACAGGAGGCTAAACAAAACAAAATCTTTCCAACAGAATGTTGATCTTCCAGGTTCACTTGAATAGATAATGAGCTCTTCCTGTTAATTTACAACTGCACTTTTCCCCCCCAGCTCAATCTAACAAGTTACTCTTAGCCTCTATTGTGTCATGACTATGAGGCTTTTTTTTTTTTTTTTGGTTTTGGAACTGAAACCCGGGGTTTAACCATTGAGCCATATCCCCAGCCCTTTTTCATATTTTATTTAGAGACAGGGGTCTCCCTGAGTTTCTTGGGGGCCTCACTGAGTTTGCTGAGGCTGGTTTTGAATGTGCAATCCTCCTGCCTCAGGCTTCGGAGCCGCTGGGATTACAGGCAAGCACCACCACACCCAGAACTATGAAGCTGTTTAAAAAAACAAAAACACACACTGCCAGTGGTAATGGTGCACACCTGTAATCCCAGTGACCAAGACAGCTGATGCAGGAGGATCTCAAATTCAAGGCCAGCCTCTACAATTTAGTGAGACCCTGTCTCCAAATGAAAAGTAAGCTCTCTGCTTCCTACTGCCATGTTCCCAGCTGCTTTCCTCCACCACACCCTTTTGCTGTGATGTTGTGCCTCACCTTGAGACCCCAGGAATGGAGTTAGCCTTTCAATAGACTAAGATCTCTGAAACTGTGAGCCCCAAATAAATTTTTCCTCCTCTTAAATAGAAAAGTAAAAAGGGCTGGGATGTAGCTGAGTGGTAGAGCACCTCTGGTGTGGATACCCAACACCAAAACCAAAAAACAAACAATACAAAAACAAACAAAAAACCCAAGACACACCTTGAACCTATTGTTGTCACTAAAACATGTAAGTCTTGTCTCTTAGAGGCCAGCTTGTTTCCCCTGCAATTCAGGTAGCAACCTACCATTGGGGTGGTAGATATCTAAATACAAAAGCTAACAGAGTGGTCTCTCCCAGAGCATAAGGAACAGATGTGAAAGATGAAGCCCACAATCCAATCTATATAGATTATTTCCAAATAATATGGAAGTTTACTAAATAATTACTAGGCTGTATAGTTTTTAAGAAAAAGATGATTAAGGAAGAAAAGAAATAGAACATCTAGGTAAAAGGTGTAATTCCTGCTTGTCTATCTAGCTTTCATTTTTTCTTTTAAAATCCTTTAAATTCTCATGCCTATGATTCTGGGCATTGTAAAACCTTACTTACAGCTTTAGTCAGCCAAGACTAAATATTTTCAGCTTTAGCAGTTAAAATCTTTTGGTGGTGTGTTGGTTTGTTGCAGTTCCAGGGATGGTATCCAGGGGCGCTCTACCACTGAGCTCCATCCCTAGCCCTTTTTATTTTGAGGAATGTTCTTGCCAAGTGGCCCAAGATGACCTCAAACTTGCAATCCTTCTGCCTCAGCCTCCTCAGTTGCTGTGATTATTATAGGCGTGTGCTACCACAACCAACTATTATAACAATCATGAGAGCCTCAGTCAGCAACCACTTTCAGACCACAAATAGACCTTTCTCTAGTTAGACCCTCTGTGTTTTTACACTTTCTCTGCCTGGTTGGAAACAAAAAAGATTGGGAAAAAAAGATGACCTCTTTTCTGTCATCCACCTTAGATCCTCGACTCTCACTTTCCAATGGGAATCCCGTTGCCTGAGTTACTAAATTTCTAACCAGCCTACTCCTCTGGCTTCCCCCCTTTCTAATGAACAGCTAATTAGCATTGAAAAGATTGCCTTTAATGAAACAGACCTTTCTGAAGTTTTTAAACAGCTATGAAAATATTCTAAAGAGAATTCAAGACCTTATATCAGGGATCAGCAAGCTTTCCCTATAACAATCAAATGATAATTATTTTAGGTTTTGCAGGCAGTATATGTTCTGTGGAGACTACTTAACTCTCCTATGATAGCTTGAAAGAAGCCTGAACAATATGTAAACAAATAGGTATGGCTATGTTCAATAAAACTGTATTTGTGAGCACTAAAGTTTAAATTTTATATAATTTGCATATGCTACAAAATATCTTTATTTTTAAATTTTAGTGTAAAACCATTCTTAGTTTATATACAGCAAGCTGGATTTGGCTCACAGACCACAAATTGCCAATCCCTGCTATAGATGATTACATGTTCAAGTATGCCACAATACTAAATAGTATGATAATAAATAGTATTGTTCAAAGAAGGAAGACATCAGATAGAACCAAAAGAATCAAAAGATTCCTGGGGAAAATGATAGGTTGGGCCTTAAAGAAAGAGCAAAATATAGGCAAGTGGAGGAAAGAGAAAGGAAGGAAGAAAAGATATGTCTTCCTGGCATCTGAGTAATAATAAGAGAAAGAATGAAAGAAGACAGTTTTATGATCAAGTTGATTCAGGAGATATGTAAAGGTCCTGGATATCAAAATAAGAAAATTAAACATAGCCTTCATACAAATAGAATTTCTATATTATTCTTGCAGAGAAAAGAGCACTGATCTACAAGAGAAAGACTAAAAGCAGGTAGAACTAAGATGGGTATACTGCAGTTGTATAAAACGCAAGAGCCTGGTGACTGTAATGATGGTAATAGAAGAAAAGGCACAGTATCAGGAGACACATGGCATAAGGAATCAATAATACCTGAAGAATAAGAATATTTAGGCGAGGATTCAAAGTGACTCTTGGAATTCAGAATCAGGAAATAGGGAAAATTATAAATCATCCATTGGCTATTAAGCCCACATTATGGCCAGGACCAATGTGGCTGTCAGGATAGAAAAACCCATGCAACACAGATGTTACAATCCAGTAGGCAAGGGACAGTTATGTGAATATAAAGGTATGGTATTGTTGCAGGCACCATAATAGAAGTCTGAGAAAGTGTGGCTGCAGTCCAGGGAAAGCAATAGAAGACTCCTAACTTGAGGAAGCATCAGAAGTAACTACAAAATTGCTGGGCTTACAGATGGCACAGGCCTGTAATCCCAGTAAATCAGTAGGCTGAGGCAGAAGATCTCAAGTTTGAGGCCAGCCTCAGCAACTAAGTGAGACCCTGACTCAATAAAAAGATTTGGAGGTGTAATTCAATGGTAGAGCACACCCCTGGGTTCAATCCCTAGTACCTCCCCATCCTCCCCACCACACACACAAAAAAATATTAGCTATTTTACTTTTTTTTCTTCTTGGTACTGGGGATTGAACCCAGGGGTGTGCAGTATGCCCATCTTGGTCTACCTGCTCTTAGTCTTTCTCTTGTCAGATCAGTGCTCTTTTCCCTGCAAGAATAATATAGAAATGCTATTTGTATGAAGGCTATGTTTAATAACCACTGAGTCACATCTCTAGATTTTTAAAATATTTCTTTATTTTGAGACACTGTCTTACCAAGCTACTTAGGACCTTGCTAAATTGCTGAGGCTGGTCTTGAACTTGCAATTCTCCTGTCTCAGCCTCCCAAGCTATCAGGATTACAGGCATGTATTACTGCACCCAGAAGCTACTTTACTTTTTTACTGAAGACTTTTATATAGAGGAATCATTAGGGCAGAACATAAAAGAAAGGTAGCACAGTTATAATGGGGAATTAGGAAAAAGAAGAATCCATTAGAGGAGAAAGAAAAAAATAGCTATTAGTATATTGGTGCAAGGGTTGGGGGTGTAGAGAGGAAGAGAATGTAATTGTCAGGGGTTCAAAAGCAGTAGGAAGGTTGATTGTTGATTAGGAGAAACATGGGAGAAAGCCCAGTGAATTCAACAGACCACGGGAAATCATTGATGATTTTAAAGAAAGGAGATTAAAGCCAGATTATAAAGCTCTAATGAAAGGAACCCTTCCTGTTCCAAGAAGTGCTTGTGCCAGCACCTGGGGTGCCAAACATATTAGAGCAATAAATAGAGCAATAAATAGAGCAAGCCCAGATTAGAAATTTGGCTCAATGGACACCTGAGTGAGGTTGGCCAGATATCAACTATGAACATGGCAGGTAGGAACAGCATGTAGCAGTAGTTAAGAAGTCAAAACCACCCTCCCCCCCAAAAAAGGAAGAAGAAGAAGTCACAAACCAGTTAGGAATCAGACCAGAGGACTAGTGGAGAGCTGGAGGTATAGCTCTGTGATAGAGCATTTGGCTAGCATACAAGAAGCCCTGGGTTCAATCCCCAGGTACACACACACACACACACTCTTAATGGAAATCCTGCCAGAGAATCAGGACAGCAAAGGATGACCAACTATGAAAGACAGTAGCTAAGAGGAAAATAGGAATGTATCCAAATGACCCCTTGGAACTTACAGTGCTAGCGAAATGTCTGGCACAAAATAGGTTCCCCTTAAATATTTATTGGACAAACAAACAAATGGCACAAATATAGGATACAATGCCATGTGGAAAGAGCAGGAGTTTGGAATCAGAACTTAATTCATACCCTAGCCCATTTACTCATC